AGAGGCACAGGCCGCGCGACTTCATCTCTAGTGAGCAGTGCTTTCAGCGAATAGGCCCTTCCCACGGCCGGAGGGGGAGGCTCCTCCGGGCCCGCCTCTTCCTTCCCAACCAAACTAACTGCTGTGCAGGGGCTCGTGGACACCATCACCTACGGCAAGTTCGTGTCGTGAAGACCCGGTGTCGGTTTCTGACACCGCGTGGCACGCTCAACGTTGTACGATCGGCTGCTTTGCGATCGCCAGATCTTTCCACGTGGGCCGACTCTGGGCCACTGGCGGCGTTCCACCTCGAAAGCCCACGTTGGGGTCGCCGCCGCGTCGACACGACACTCGGGCCGGGCGAAAGGGGGATAGCAAAGGGGGGGGTTGAGGCGCCCATGTATCGAGGAATGGGACCCTCGGTGGGGCGGAAACCAGCTGCATGCAGCAGATTTCGTAACCCCTCCTTTCCCAATCCCCCCCTTTCGTCCGGCCCGAGACACGAACAACCCGCTCTTCGCCGAATCCTGGGGTCCAGGATGGCAACGCCAAGCATGGTGCAGCTGCACGAGAACATGTGCGTGGCCCCGGCCCCCCTGGCCGACTGACTCACCCATTTGGGGATGCGTGCTCCAGCCCCCCTCCCACACACCATGCCAAGGGGAGCGCCCCCCCACCCCCACCAACCCCCCCACGAGGGGCCTCCCCCCCCCCCTCGGAGGCGCGCAAACATGGGTTAGCGATCCATGGACCTGGCGCGCGGTCGCCAAATCCATGGGTCGGGGGAGGTGCCCCCCACACAATGCGGCCGGTGCCGCCTCGCTCGGCGGCGGAAATCCGCGACTTGCCACAGAAACGAAACCCGTCGCGAATCCACGCCCCCTTGATCCATGTTTGCGATCGCCTGAATGGGTCTCCCCACTCGGAAATCCTGAGAGAACTTGAACAGGTAAGCCCAGCTATCTCGTTTCGAGACGGAACAAAATCGGGCGAAAAAAGCTGCTTTTCCAACTCCGGCTCCCGAAGATCCGACGGAACTCCTGAACTAGGGGGCAAACAAACCTACCTCGCTTTTGACCACCCTCGCTTCCAAGAAGTACCAAGCGATGCCAAACTGCGGCCTGTACTGGTCAGGCCGCTTGACGAGGAGGCGCGTGGTGTGACTGGGTTTTGCCTGGAAGCGAAAGCGGGGTAGGTAATCCACGCTCTGATGAACGGAAAGCAAAACTCAACAAACAAACAAAAATTACCCCCACCCCCCCATTGGGTGTGGGGTGGTGCTGCGGTCCCGCTCCTTGAGGCCAGCCTCCACCTCCTCCAACTCTTTTCCTCCCTCCTCCCTGCTCCTCTCCCTCCCTCCCTCTTCCAACTCTTTCCTTCTCCTGCTCCTCCTCGTCCTCTCCCTCCCTGCTCCTCTCCTCGTCTCCCTCCTCCAACTCTTTTCCTTAGATAAGCAGCTCTTCCCCACCCCTCCGTTGGGTGTGGGGGTGGTGGTGCGGCCCCGCTCCCTCCCCCCCCCGGTGGGTGTGGGGTGGTGCTGCGGTGCCGCCGCAGCCGCCGCCGCCGCCGCCGCCGTCGCCGTCGTCGTCGCCGTTGCCGTCGTCGTCGTCGTCGTCGTCGTCGTCATCGTCGTCGTCGTCGTCGTCGTCGTCGTCGTCGTCGTACGTCGTCGTCGTCGTCGTCGTCGCCACCGCCGCCGCCGCCGCCGCCGCCGCCGACGACGTTCCATGCAGAGGGGCGGGCCTGGAGCTCGAGCTGGCCACGCCCACCACACCACAAGGAACGCAAGGCTTAAGTCGGGCGTGTCCCCCTACAGTGGGATTTGCGACGAAAAATAAAAGATACTCCAAAAATACTCCAGAATGCTCATAAATACTGAAAAAATAGTCCCCTCACGATTTTTTCAATATTTTTGCATATTCCCCCAGTAGAGGGACAGGCCCGACTCAAGGCAAGGCGGTGAGCAGCGGGGCTCGGCAGCTGCGCCCCGCGCACCCCGCCCGTCTGCCCCCCAGGGCCCGTCTGTCCACAGCCGTCGCCCGGGGGCATCGGCCCCCGGGGGGGCCTCGGCAGGCGAAGGAGACGCGGACAGGTTCGAAGGGGCCCAGGGACACGCAGAGGAACAGACACGAATCCCAGGATTCCCCTCTGTATGTCCATGCTTCCTGCAATGTCGCCTTCCGCCCACTTCCCACCTGCTCCGGGGAACCGACGTGGATTTTCGCCCCCCGCCCAGGCCCCGAATATCAGGACGATATCCACCGCAGGCTGACGTCACCTAAATCGGCCTCCCGATCCTGTTTGAAGGCACACCCCTGGGAGCCACGCCAGGCACTCCCTCCGTCTCTCCCATGGACGTCGAGCTCGTCACTATGCGGTGACAGGACGGTGCAAGAAACCCTGACTGCGCAACACTTCGAGAGCAGGCGTACGACAAAGAATGCGAAAATAGCATCCTGTTAGGGAAATAGCGGTACGGCGGATTGTCCGGGTGGAACCGCTTCCATCGGTCCGGAATATC